GCCCATGCACACGCCCATGCACACGCCCATGCACTGGTGACTTCTGAGTCGGCTCAAGAGTCACCTCGTAAGCAATGAGATACCCATGCCTCTACCTGCCGACGCCCATGCACATGCCCATGCCCGTTCCCAGTTCCGTAGATTGTTTGTTCTTTTCGTCAAATTGATGAAGTTAACTCAATTTCGCCCTCTCTTTGCCCCGGTAAGCATCTCCCCTAGTAAGCACCTCCCTGCCCCATCCGCCACCCTACGTGCTTTCCCCATAGATCTTCCAACCCCCCTACCCCGCTTGCAAGCTCCCTCGCATGCAACCAGAGGTGGTTGGACGGAGGTGGTTGGACGGAGTTTGTTGGACGGTGGTGGTTGGACGGAGGTTGTTGGACGGAGGTTGTTGGACGGAGGTTGTTGAACGGAGGTTGTTGGACGGAGGTGCTTGGGCGGAGTTGCTTAGGCGGAGGTGCTTGGACGGAGGTGCTTGGACGGAGGTGCTTGGACGTCTGTTAATGGATGGAGGTTTGACTCATTAATCTATTCCTTTGCCATCTGCACAGGCAGACAGGTGTCGCATTCCTACTGGCCCTTGCCCACACCAACAACCTCTCACTCTTGTCAGCGGATCTCATTGAGCTCGACAGGTACACCTCTTGCTTCCCCCGCCACCCTTTCTCGCCTTGTTCCCTTCCGAGCTGACTTTTGAGTCGACTCAAAAAGTTCTCGTCAGCCGATCTCATTGAGCTCGACAGGTACACCTCTTGGCCCTCATGGCCCTTATGGCCCTCACTCCTGGCCCTCACTCCTGGCCCTCACTCATGGCTCTCATGGCCCTCATGCCCCTCATGCCCCTCATAGCCCTCATGGCCCTCATGCACCTCATGGCCCTCATGGCCCTCATGGCCCTCATGGTCCTTATGCCTCTCATGGCCCTCATGGCCCTCATGGCCCTCATGGCCCTCATGGCCCTCATAGCCCTCATAGCCCTCATAGCCCTCATAGCCCTCATGCCCCTCATGGACCTCATGCCCTCCCTGTCTTTTGCATCAATCGTTTGCCTCCGCCACCTGCTCTCTCCCTGCCTCGTCCCCACCTTACTCTCCACCGTTTCCTCGCTCTTCTTCTCCCTGGTGAATCACTATTATTCCTATCCTTTCTTTCCCATGCCTCTTTCTCTGCCTCTTCAAGCAGTTGCTGCCATCTCTCTCCAACTCTCTCCATCTCTCTCCATCTCTCTCCAACTCTCTCCATCTCTCTCCATCTCTCTCCATCTCTTCCCCTTTCTTTCTGTTCCTCTTGTTTACGGTTATCAGACTGATTGAGAATGGCTTTCTTGGGCTGAGGAACGGAGTCTTGGACCAATCAGCGATCGTCTTGTCAAAGTCTGGCCATCTGACACGCATCTGGTGCCAGGTCAGCTGAATCACCGCTCATGACCGCACTCCACGCTTCCAATAACGTTCAGCCTTCCATAGCGTT